GCTGCTGCTGCTGCTGCTGCTGCTGCTGCTGCTGATCCCAGGCTGGCTGCGGAAACGTGTGGGGCTGCACCGTAGTAGTTTGCTGCTGCTGCTGCTGCTGCTGCTGCGGTTGCTGCTGCTGCTGCAGCAGTTGCTGTGGTTGCAGCAGATGCAGCTGTTGCATCGGTTCCGAAAGATGAGGCATAATGAGAAGCGGCAGCAGCAGCAGGAGCAACTGCTGCTGCTTCTGCTGCTGCCTAGCCTGTTTCCTGCTGCTGCTGCTGCTGCTGCTGCTGCTGCTGCTGCTGCTGCGGTTGTTGCTGCTGCTGCAGTGACATCAAAGCCAGCAGCAGCAGCAGCAGCAACCTTCGGGTATTTAGCTGCTGTTCCACAGATCTGTGCGTGTGCAAGCAGCAGCAGCTGAGGCAACAGCAGCAGCAGCTGCTGCAGCAGCAGCAGCAGCTCCCCCAGCTGGATACAGTGGAAAGTGTTGCAGTGATGCAGCCAATAAGAGATGCTGCTGCTGCTGCTGATCTGAGGTGTACGTACACCCCAAGGCACTGGGGAGCAGTCGGCTGCGGTTCCTGCTGTTGCTGCTGCTGCTGCTGCTGCTGCTGCTGCTAAGCCTCAAGCGCTAGCAGCAGCTAAAATGAGTCAAATAAACNTGCTGCTGCTGCTGCTGCTGCTGCTGCTAAGCCTCAAGCGCTAGCAGCAGCTAAAATGAGTCAAATAAACTCAAATGTTTAATTAAATATTAAAATAATAAATTAAATTTTGAAAAAAAATAAAGAAAATGTCATTGGAGCCAAGTGAGGTGCCTAGACACCGCAGCTAAGCGACCGCTGCCGACGGCTGGTAGCGGCGTTTCTCCCGTGTCGTTTTAATTTTATATTAAAAACAATTTAAATTAAATTAATTTATTTATTTAAAAAATATTATTTCTGCATCGGTGAAGCAAGAGCAGAAGGAGGCCCCAGGGGCCCTACGCCGCCGCTGCTGCTGCTGCTGCTGCTGCGGCTGCTGCTGCTGCTGCTGGTCTGTCAGCTAGCGCTGTTCTTTGCTCTGAAATTTTTTAAATTATTTAAATAATAATTGAATTGATTGCAGAATATTTTTGATATAAGAAGCAAAGCAACGATTAGATGCTGTATATGTTGAGGTGTATNAATTGATTGCAGAATATTTTTGATATAAGAAGCAAAGCAACGATTAGATGCTGTATATGTTGAGGTGTATATACACCTGAAAAGCGCTCGCTCACTGCTTGTATTTTGGCTTCTGTGGGGTTTTCTAAGATATCTTTTTTTTTTAATTTATTTAAAAAACAAAAACAAATTGCTGCATGCATGCAGTGTATAGTTATGTAGAGCTGCTGCTGCTGCATTGGAATCCTGGGGTTTGGCTGCGTGTGCTTATAAACCCCACAACAAACCCTAAACCCTAAACCCTAAACCCTAAACCCTAAACCCTCGAAACATCTGCTGCAAAGCGCTCCTCATATACTACGCTAGACACCCAAAACCCTAAACCCTAAACCCTCAAACCCTATCATCCACGCAACCAAAAGCCCCACCACAGAGGCAGCTAGCTACCTGCAGCTAGCTACCTGTAGCTACCAGCTAGCTGCAGTAT